TTAACTTTTTAAACTCACTTTTCTCCTGTTTTCAGGCTGCTCGATTAGATCCCAACAATTACGAAAATTTTGTGTACTTGGGTAAATGCTACAGTCTTGGGGCTCGAGACGTAGACAAAGCTCGGAGATGCTATCAAAAAGCTTTTCAATTAAACCAGCGAAGCGAAGAAGCTGGTGCTGGATTGAGTGACATTTATAGAAGTCAGAAATACGTGGTATGTTGCTATTGGCATTCTTCATGGTTGACATTGACCTTTTGAGAGTGGTTGTTACAAGTAACTTATTTTGAAACTGTCACAGGATTTAAATATTCAGCTTCTGACGTATGTAACTCAGCAAGCAGGTCCTGGTGGAAGCAAATGGGCATGGTTGAGACTAGGACTTTATCATCAAGACAAGGGAAATCATCAAGAAGCTGTTGACAGTTTACGATGTGCCGTCCGATGTGATCCTAGCGATAGGTAGGAATAAGAGATGTGATGTGCATGCTTCTTAAATAAACTTGAACAAACCTAGTCAATATAAGAAAGAAATGCATTTAGGAAGAAAAGGAAAAAAAACCTTCCTAAAGACAGTGGGCACTTCAATTGAAATTTTGAAAAATAAGAATTGTGAGGGCTTGCCACTTACTTAAAACTTGCAGGATTGATGAATCTTATACCTTACGTGTCTAACTACGTGGAGCGTACATTTTCTAACGGTGAGGAGCACAAGTTTAAAGAATAAGGTGAAAACATCTTATTAATATTGGCATTGCAGTAACGTAACATGAAATGCTAATTTTGTAGAACAAAGTGTTTTAAATATGTTCAGGGAGTAGACTATCATTTGACTACAGCTGAGTTAAAAAACCGGCCATTGTCAAACTTTGCAATTTTCAAGTGGCCACTAACGCATCAAAATTGGTGTTAGGAATTAAATGTAAATAAAGAATAAAACTAATTCAAACTGACAAATTTTATTAGGGAAGGGATTTATTCAGAGGTATGCCAATTGGCCATTGAGTCATAATGAATTTAGTAGTTTAGCCCCATCATATTAAGAAAACTATGAAAACATTCTTAACTATGACCGGTATTAGTGTTTTTACCCTAGGTGTGAATAAAAATGTCAGAATATAGTTGTTTTGTGGAGATGGTTGGCAAAGGAGCAGGCTGGATCACAGTGCCAAGCAACCCTAATTGAATCTTCCGACTTAAATATTCAGTCAACAATTTTAAACTTTTTGTGTGCAGTCATTGTTGGGAGAGTTTAGCTGATGCATATTATGCAAGAGGATCGTACACTTCAGCCCTGAAATCATACCAACGTGTAGCAGAACTGAACCCTGAAGCATTATATCCTGCATATCAAGTAGCATCAATTAAACAGGTAATATGAAACTACTACTATTACTCTTGGTTGCAATGCCGTCATCTTTTATACAACTATGACCATTGAAATGACTATCACCATTATACACTAGAAAAATACAAGCTCATGAATTACTCTGGGATGAGCACACTACCTTTTAGAAGTCACACATAGGAAAATTTTAAAATAATATCCAAACTAAATATTATAGAATTTTTTTTAGTCTAAGAAACTCCATAATCCCACCTTGAATTGCTTAAACCAGTGAGGCTGTACTGTGTCTGTGTATTAAAGAGGACTAAACCTCTGGATTAGTGCACAATTTACAAAAGAACTTCCGTTCAACAAATCACTGGGAATTTGTTGTGGGGTAGTGGGGTATTGGAGAACCAAAGCTGAGTGCAGCAAGATCAAGGAACAATGTTCAGCATAAAATTCACAGGAAATGTGTTGATGACTCAAGGTTAGTTCATGTAAATGGCAGAGAATTAAGGTTTGAGGCTCATTGGCAAATCAGACATGCCTAGGAAGGCATTAATTGTCTTAAAGGGATTACCTTAGAAGATGTCATTTCATTTTCTTGATGTAGCAAGTTGATTCTTCAGTGAGGGGGGTGATCAGATGTAGTTCTTCCACAGCAACTAAGTATGGTATGTGTCATGTTCGGGACCAAATAGATATTTTTTCATACAAGAGGTCACATTAAAAGGGATTCTCCTTTATATTGATAGTATGAACTCCTGTCTACCAACACTTCTTCTATGTTATTTACAAAACAAGATATTTTAATCTGTATTCTAAAAAGATAGTTCGAATGTTCTCCCAGGATCCCTAAGTAAATTATTTTTATACATCTAAATTATCCATTTATTGTTATAGCTTATAGGAATGTTCGAGGAGTCAGTAGCTGAATATAAAACAGTGGTGTCAGCTAATCCAAAATATGTCCCAGCACTGAAAGGCTTAGGAGAAACATGTCTTCTTGTGGCAAAGTCACACCTAAGAAGGCAAATGCGAGGCCTGTGTCGGGATATGTGTCAAGAAGCTGTGGATGCTCTTACAGTGTAAGTGATTAAAATATATTCATAGTAAGATGCAAGTGTTATAATATTTATACTTAGAATGCCACCATCTTTGTAGGGCTGCTGAAGAATACCGCAATCTTTCTTGTTTATGGAAACTGTTGGGAGATGTTTGCACATTAATGGCAGAATTACCTGAATCGGAAGCTTTTCTTTACGTTAAAGGATGGCTAACTGTATCATCACCTCAAGGTGAAAGCAATGACCAGGATGTGAGTATGCTGCTACAGAAGGAGCAAGTTCTACAACTGGGTGCAAGGTAATACAAAAAGCATTGTATTCTACTTTAAATTAATTAAATATACTACTAATATATTGCAGAAGTTTTCTCTATCAAATCTGTTGGAAGTGGCATAAGCTCTATAAAAGATGGGTGTGTGAATTCATTAATTTAATGCATTTTTAAAGGTATTAAACATGTTTCTTTATATAAAAGAATTTAATTTTAAGTTATTACAATCCCCATTCATTCTGTCTAATTAATATTTTGTTCTCTCATGTATTGAAAGTTGCCTTCTTCAGTTAATTTAACCAAGCCTTTTATACTGCAGTACGTGATCATGATTTTTATAAGTTTATTTTTCGAAAGGTTGTAAGTTCAGCGATCAGAAGTGCAAATCCTGTTAGAAACAAATTGTGATAGTTAAACTTTATAGAATGACATCCTATGCTCTTCATCTCATCAAGTGCTCACACTTCTAGATCTTTATCAGAGGTTATGGAGGTTCATGGATGTACTATTAACAAATTTATCTTGATGCCAGGTGTTACTGCCGCTCACTGACAATTTCAACAAATAGCAGTTTGCTGTGGCAAGACTTGGCAGTTAATTACAATTGTCAGGCAAATTACGCATCTTCCCCATTCACCAAAAAACAACTGCGAGAGTGGGCTCTGATGGCAGCGAAACAGTGTGTTCTCTATGGTAGTAAAAGCTCACAGCACTGGAACATGTTGGGAGTGGTTGCTGCTTCACCTGGTTTGTAAATTTGACCAATACCGCTTTTATTGATAAATTTCTGTTTCATTTAATAATTTGATAATTCTCTTGACAGAAATCAACAACTTGAAGTTAGCTCAGCATGCATTTATTAAGTCAATTCAAATAGAAAAAAACCATAATGCCCCAGCATGGACAAATTTAGGAACTATTTATTTCAAACTAAAGGAAATAAAGATGGCAAATGATGCCTTCAGAGCAGCCCAAAGAACTGATCCAACTTACATTCAAGGTTGGCTTGGCCAGGTAGGTGTATTTGTTGACTAATTTTTTGGATACAAATACATTATGAGAACACATAACCTTCTCCCTGTTCATGTGCAGTGCACAGCAGTAGAAATTCTATTCTGGACATGTAATTAATTTTAGGCAATGTTGGCTGAATCTGTTAATCACGAGGACACAATGGATTTGTTTCGACACACAACATCCCTTGCTGTTCATTCTGAGAGTTGCTTGGGGTATGCCCAATGGGTTTGTTCCACATTGTTGTATACTGCGAACAAAACTGATCCTCAATATATCTATAGCATTGAAGACATGCATGCTGTTCCAACAGCTGGAGATTGTATGACATGGTACACAGGTATGTTTGAGAATCAATGAGATTCTATTGTACAAATTTACTATAATATAAAATGTTATGGTAAATGTACCGTAATATATTATTGTATAAGATGTTTCTTTTAATTAACAAATACCTAGGCCAGAAGACATATCAATTTCTTAGTGGGAAGCTGATAGAATGAAGGTTTTTACAAAATAAAATTCAGAATGCTAAAAACAATGTTGAATCGTCAGTATGGTGGTATGATTATAAAATACCATATTTGCACAATAGAACATACTTTTTCTAGATTTTCCCTCAAGAAATTAGGGGTCATCTTATTTTCATGCAAGAAGAAAAATATCTGGAGAGTTGAAGCCCCTTAACCGTAATAGAAAATCCTAAAAAATTTACAAAATTGGATAAAGACAAGACTTGAGGCATTGACTTCAAAAACAAAGTTTCAAGCCCCTAGAACAAACTACAAAAGAGATCTAAAGAAGAACGGAAATAATGACAAAAAAAAAAAGCCAGATATTGACTTAATGTTCAATTCATGCTGAGAATTTAAAATAATATTGACATGCTCATAATATGTAAAAATTATAGATTTAATTTTTTCCATTTCATTCGTCAGGATCAAATTACACTTCATAAGTGTGTGGGTCTCATATTCATGAAATTTCAAATGAAAATAAAACTAATATAAAAATATTGCTAATTATTTTTCAAATTATGCAAAGAAAGAATAATGAAATAATAATTGAAAGAAAAGCCCAAACAATTGAAATTTAAGATGGTAAGATTTTTTTTTCTTGCAAATCTCAAACATTTCTTAACATTCGAAGGTGATCAACTGAGTGCAGTATTGCCTCAAACACAGAGAGACTAAAGCTACTAATCATCAGTAGTTATTATTTGTATATGATAGCTTGATTTTTTTCTCCATCAGGTTCCATTCCAACAAATGCCTGTGCTTTCAATATGATGGGATTGCTTATGGAGAGACAAAAACTATACAATACAGCTGCCCAGGCATTTGCAAAATCTTTGAAAGCATTGGAAAATGAGAAAGGAAACAAAGTTTCTGAATTGGAAGACAAAGTACGCTGCAATTATGCACGAGTATTAGTACTATTACAACGCTACGATGAAGCCATACAGCAGTACCTGGAAATTAAGGAAGCTTCTTTAGTCTCTCAATGTGGACTAGCTCTAGCTTATTTTAAAGGTAACTTTTTTTTTTTTTTTTTTTTAGAGTTGGTGAATTTAAAAAGAGTAATTTAACAATTATTTAACTTTTTCTACAGCTGAAAAGTATGAAGACTCTTATACAGCATATGAGACTATATTACATTGGTTAGCCCCTGATGATGGACTAAAATCACATGTGTTAGTAGCAATGGCAGCGATGGCATATAAGTTTCGTGGAGTGGAAGGTTCGAAGACTCTACTATTTCAATGGTATAAATTTTTAATATTACTTTTCCTTAGAGCATGTAATTAAAGTGTGATGCCATCATGTTGAGTTTTATACATTTTAAATATTGCAGTGTACAACTGAAACCTCCTTCAGTACAAGGCCTATTTGCTTCATGTTCTTTGGGTATTATTCACGGAGACTTGCATCTGTCAGAAATGGTTCTTAAGGAATTAATACCCTACCAGAATGATTCTGATTATGTAACCCACATAGCAGTATTTAAAGCTTATATTCATTATTTACAGGTATGATACGTACAAATTTTGTTTCTTCTAGTGAAGTCAATATAGTGTATAAAAAAATTACTTTTAAAGATTCAATTCAACAACCACACTTACTAATTTGAGTTGTTTTTTTTTTCTTTTCTAAAACTGAACAATTCAATCAGTTTGTGTGATTTTGATTAAATATTCTTGAAGTGTTTAAATAGCACATACAAAATGAAGAAAAGAAAATGGTGAAAGAACTTTCATAATTCCAGAATCGATCCAAAGAAGCTGTTCGATGCCTCAGCAGCCCTACTCATACCTATCCTGGACAAGCCTCTCTCTGGTTAGCTTTAGCTTTGTTATTGCTTAACATGTACCCAAAATGTCCCAATCCATCATCAGCAGCAGTTTGTGCTCAAGTAGCACTGTACTTGGGTCGCAGTAATATGGATGTATCAAAGGTACTTAGTGCTTTCTTTTGGAGTACTGTAATGGTCAGCTGGTGGAAAGATCTTTTTATATCTAGTTCTCTCACAGAAAACATGTATTTTATAATTTTTGCAGGTTATGTCCTTGGTTAGCTTGGGCCATTTGTTTTCTGAAAAAGCTATACCAAGTCTAAGAAGTTCTCAGAAAGCTGTGCATATGTTCCCACATATTCCTGAGAATTGGGTGGTTGTGATTGCTTCATACTTGCCATGGTGTATTTATTACCGATCATCATCAGATGCGTTGTGGCTGAAGCAACTCATCGGCCATGTTCGTAGGAAGATGGATGCAACTCGACAAATGGGGAAATGGCTGAGTCGTTACGAGCACAAAGTAACATTGTTATCTGAAGAATTCATGAAGTAGCTTATTTAACAAAAGAAAAGTGTTTTACCAAAAACTGTTGTCCATCAAGCAAGCAGAAGAAAATGTGATACTATTTGTTTTTGTTAATGTACATTATTTTTCCTATAGAGGTGGAACTAATTTATTAAATTTGATTTTACACAATATCAGTTTATTGATAAATGAAAATGTAAATATCATGAACATGTACAATGGTTACATGAAATATAACAGAAGGACTATGAACACTGTTTTAATTTCTAGATCTACTTATTTCTGGAGGAATATAATCAACTTCTGGATCCTTACTTGTCTTTCCTCGTAACTTTTTCTCAACTTCCTCTTGTAACCCTTGCTTTTCAAGAAGCATGTCAATCTTGTCCTCATTATCAAAAAAGAACAGTTCTTTTTCCTTTTGAATTAATTGTTGTTTCTCTTGCTCAACAAGTGCAAGCCTCTGCTGTCTCTTCAGTTCCTCCATTTCTTCTTTCAGCACTTTCTCACGCATTTTCTCCCATTCTCCATACAATGCTTCTTGGGTGCTGATCATATTCTTTTCTTCTCTAGCAACTATTTGTTCCACCTTTGACACAACTGCATCATGAAGATCATCATTTGTAACTAGTCCTTTAGTTTCTAATTCTTTTACAAGTCTTCTCAAGTTTTCTCGCAGCTTAGATTCAGGATCATTTTCATCATTTAATTCTTTCTTGAAAGTTTCTTCAAATACCTTTAACTGCAATAAAAATTTGAATGTATGCAAGCTCCTATTTTATTAACAGAATAGATTTAAACGTAATACAAAATATCTTTTGAAAGTACACACCCCTGCACTGTAAATGCCAGGCTTCACACCAGTATTTGGCAATTGTTCCAACAGTGATATCGCTTTCTCCCATTTTCTATGGAGACCCAATCCTACCAACCGATAAGTCTGTCCAACAGCATCAGGCATTGTGGCTCCCACAGCTGCCAAAGTTTTGCCAACTAAAAGTTGAGGCTCTCGAAGGTCAAAATGATCATCAAAGTAAGGATTTCGAACATAATGCACTCGCACCTTGACCTACAAAATATAAATTAACTTACTTTTTTTTTTTGTATTACAAATTTCGATGACATAGTGGGATACATTAATTTAAAAAAATTAATAAATAGTTATGTGATAACTTCGGTCTGGACTGTTAGAATATTATAAACATTATTTTAGGCCTTTTCAAAAGTATAATAATTGCAATAAATAATATTTAAATTACTAACTCGTTTTATTTTATATTTTAACTTCTTAACTTGAGCAAAGTTGTTTTTAAATAATCACATAAAATTTAAGAATGATTTTCAAACAACTTAAATATTCCATTGAAAATTAGCACCCAAACCAAAAATATCCAAGATTTGTTGTTGCAATGAATAACCATGTATAATCCCACTATCTCTAAAGTGAATATATTCCTATTGTCTTTCAATGGTCATATGAAACAAGAAAAGATTCAATAAAGTATTAGGTATACTCATTATTTTATAAACACTTTTTGAAATTTTACCATGACTATCAATCAAGACCTACTTCTTCTCCATCGTCCTCTTCAACCTCACTTTCCCAAGGGGCAGGATTTTGAACATACTCATGGCATGCATACAATGCCAATGCAGTCACAAGAGGATTGTTCCAATCTTCTTGCAGCATATGAATAGAACTTACTCTTGCTGCTTCTGAATGGAGAGATAAGCATGTAAATACAAGTTGTAACAGGAAAATTTAACAATGGACTGATTCCACATGACAGTGGCAATAGACTGATAACAGTGACAAGACAACTTGAAGGGGTGGAAGAGAGGTAACAGTAAAGAAAGTGATCAGTCAATTGTGTTACATTGATGTGGTTACTTCATTGAATTGTAGAGAGGAACATCAAAAAGTTTTCAAGTATTTAATTCATTATCCCAAGAAAAAATGGAAACATGCAAATTTCATTATTCTCTCTCATTAGGATTTTAACACTACTTTGGGGCTAAAAATTTAATCAAAACTGTTTTAGATATTCATATGATGAAATTTTCTTTTTAGAAGCATATTAGAAAGTAAAATTCCTTAGACAAATTAAACTGATCTTAAACATGTCTCCCAATAACAATTATTGTTTACTAAGCCTTATTAGATTCTTTGCATCAACACCTTGGCAAATTATACTGCATTTTATCATCCTAAATTGTATGCTAATAGCTGCATCCCTCAAGCGACACTAAAATCAGTAGAAACGAATCTGAATTGAGCTGTCACAATACCCAATATAATATAAGTTATTTTATTACCTTTCCAACAAGAGAGAGGGAGTACAGGGCAGAGAGGAAGAGAAAACAAAACTAAAAGAGTACATTTTTTGATGATCTAATAAATACTTGAACCTCCTTTACATTTTCGCCATATTTAAACTTTACGCACTTGTGCTGTTGTAAAAAGTAAAACAATGCAACGTTTTTCATAATTACATGACATTTTTTGTATTCAGTAGTGAATTCCTTCTAGGTATTTGTTTATGAGTACTTCATTGTTATAGCAGAAACAGAGATTAACTTCACCATTTGCTGAGTTGTGAGAGAGAAATGAGTGAGTAAAGGTGTCTCTGTTGTACATTTTATAACGCACGAATTCTGGTGTTAATTTTTTGGACTCATCTTTTAAGTACAAAAATGTGGATAACTCCAGTTGCTAAATTTAGAAAAAAACTAACATGTTGTGTAGTTAGAATCCATGTTTTGTAGGTCCTAGATACCAAAAAATCAAATGACGGCAAAACATACGTCCATCCATGAACAATGCTAGCAGTTAAACCAATCTGCAAATTTTCTCCAAAATTAATGTTCACCAATTAATTTGGATGATGTCATGGTTCCTTGAATTTGAAACTGATATTTTAATTTTGGAGGATACTTTACATGAAGCCCCTGGGACCTTTTCAAAAAAATGACTCCATCGTTTTTGATTACATTTTGTTGTTGGATTGTGTGAAGGATGTTTAAGAGAATGGTGCAGGTCTCGTTTTTGTTAAAAACTCTGATTTTTCAAAAATTGCAAAAATTCAAATACTTTTCATCTTCTTACAACTACAATTACAAAGATAAATATTTTTTCTCGGAATGAAATCAGTTCCTTAAAGATAGAATTTGAAATAAGGTCAAGTACAATTTGTCGAAAATTTGAGTACTTTTCATGTGATTTTGCATGAAATGCTGATGATAAATGATACATGATATTTTATCACACTCGTTTTTGCTGTGTATTGTAGGAGTATAAATTTAAATAGTTTTTCATTGTTTATGTTCTCTTATTGTTACTAGATGATATGTACAACACTCAAATAAAAATAGTAATGCCAAAAATTCTAGATGTTGTAAAAATGCAATGCATGAGTCATCATGTCTCAAAAAAAAGGCTTGAGTGCTTGATGATTAAATAAAGCATTATGGGAAAATTAAAAAGTAAAGGGATAACATCCATTTTCAAATATCAAGTTGCGAGCAAGGAAATAAAGTTGTCACCCTAAATTTTGTAACAATGGGCATGCACATTGTTGGCAAACAGAAAATATGGCTTATTAATTTTTCATACATTAGTTTCTTAAAACACAGGAAGACAAGTAGTTTAAAAGACAAACCAGGAATTCTTGGAAGATCAAAATTAGGGGACGAAAAATGTTTCCATATAGTACCAGAGTATGCAGCCGCATTTAGTGTTTTTCATTTGTTGATACAATAAAGGGTTAAAAATTAGTATACGGTACACCCTTAGAGAAGCGTGGCGGTGGGGCTTAAGCTCTAAATACTGTACGTGCTCTAATAGAAATGAATAAAACTTACGGATAGACAATTTTCATGGTTCGCCCTACATATGCTTTGTCCCCGCTGCATTGTAACGCCAATTTACTTTCAAAGGCAATTTTTCTCGCTTCGCTCACCCGGATCCAAGTCACGTCGAGGCTTGGGCCTTCGGCCCTCGCGTTCACAATAAATATCCTTCTATATGAGTCTAACCAACGCATAATTACCAATTCACTTTTATAAGACATCACTTTTCAACAAAGCCTCCACAATCCTGCCTAATTAACGCTGGAACAGCGCGAACACGACGTGCTGGATTAAACCACTTCCTTAGTTTGTACCGTATACTACATTTCAGCCCAATAAAGTTTATTTACCATAACTGCAATACAGTAGATGTATGTAATACTAATGGGTTTATGTATTACTGAAAATTACCCTGAGTTCCCCTTTCAATCAAAAGGGGAATTCATAAAAAACGCAATCGCAAAATCGGCAAGACAGGAAACATTTTTCAACAACAAAATTGTTTTTATATCTCTTTGCATGCTACAGAAGAAACATTAAAAAAGATACAAAAATTTTCTCGGCCATAAAAATATTGCGAACACTTCAAACCAGTTTCTTGCTCGTCTAATTATACATACAATCACATTTGAACGCAAATAGGTTTGAACTTTTTACTAGTAAGTTTAGAGTTTATCATGCACATTAGAAGTGTTAATTTAAAGGTACCTGATATTTGTTTCTTCTTGATAAATGTGTCCAAGAGCAAACATAAACTGTAATGGTCTGGAAACATCCCATAATTGAGTCTGTCATTTAGAATTCTTATAAGTGATTCATATTGTCCAATATCCATAAAATATCTTACAACTGCATGATGGGTAGAAGGAAGAGTTTTTGTTGTGTTTACACTAAGTCTTAACTTGTGAATTAAGTCTTCCAATTCATCGATATAAGATTCATTCCTTACTGCATTGGCAAACTGCATCAAATGAACATGAAGTCAGAAAAGTTAAAGAAAGCATTTAGATGCATTTAATTAGTTAAAACCACAAAATAAAATTAATATCAGAAGGATTTTTAAAAACAAACTTAAATTTTATTCATCTACACTAATTTGCAAGAAAATATACACTTTTAATATCATTTATAGTTACAATATTATCTTGAGTAATTCAAGCACCATAAAGTAAATAAGCTCACCAAGAATAATGCAAACTGATATGATTTTCTCTTAAATCAAAGCTACTTAATTTTACATATGTTCAAATATAGATAAAATTTGCTAGTGTACTCTGTTTGTGTTTTATATTAAATAAAATGATAGTAAACCTTATTAAAGGCTCAACTTGGGAAAAGTAAAGAGAGTGAAGAAAAGTTGGAAAAATGAAGTTTTGTCCATTTACTCAGCAAGTAAAAACAAAAAACGATCATTTCATTTAAATCATCTAAATACTTATAAGTTATTCTCAACTTGTCTTTCTGATATCCCTTTTGGTACTAGGATATTTCAACGGTCCCAATGACAAATGGAGACTAATTCTTACATTAGAGTCCTATATTCAAACTAAAATTAATGTCTATTAATTCTTTCCATTTCACTGAATTTGTGAACAAATTTTTCTCAGAAAATTGGTGAAGTATCAATAAAACAAAAATGTGTGCATGGAGTTTTTAACAACCCCATTGTTTTTCTTACATTAAAAAGAATGATGTGGAGGCAAAATCACACAGGACAAAAAAATTTGAAGTGTTTTTATTTTTCCTTGAGAGCAACATTTACTTACCAGATCAATATCTATTGCACTTGCTTTCCCATCACGATTAAATTTCTGATCCAATGCATGAAACAATTCATCTAAAAAAGAAAATCTTTGATAATTTTCCAATTTGTTAGACTACATAATATTGAATATTCGACATTAATAATTGAATGTTTTAATACATCACTAATGAATGTTCAGTGAAATCTGAATGTGTTAATACACCCACCTAGATTTATATTTTGAAGAACAGGTGCTTGTAAACGTTTCTCCCATACATTTCTTAACTGAAAAGCTTCTGAGAGAAAATATCTTTTTCCTACGAACACAAACGTGCAAATGTCATAAAAGAGTCTCGAAGTATATACACAGTAAGTACAAAATAAAAATATTTACAAATGAAATACAGAGAAGAAATTTAAGTAGCATAATCACAATACAACCTAAAGAAATATGAGCAGTGTGCGACCGACTTCTCTGACTTAAAATCCTCAAAGCAGAAACCAATTTCCACATTTTCGCACAGTACGTTCACGTTTTTTTAAAGGAAAATTAGAACTTTCACACACGCAGTACTTCTCCTATATTATGTCGCCATTCACTGTGAACAAAAAGAGAACTAATACAATACATTAGATACACTATGCAACAATACACTGGGATATATTCGGCTGGATAATTTCGAATACCGAAAATTACACACACCGCATAACCTCAAAAATCCTTTTAAATTTCGATTCTTCTGGGACTTTGACTACAGAGCACAGCTCACATGTGACGGCGGATTCTGAATGCGTCACAACTTTAGTTGATTATATTTTCGCCAGGTTCGCACTTACGTACTATCAATTCCCGGACTCCTACCAAAAATATATCATCGAAGAATTAATCTGTGTTCAGTGTGAATAAGTTAATGATATAATAAACGGGAATTAACCAGTAAGAAAGTTTGGACGTATTCATACGGCAAGCAAACTAATAATAATAATAATAATAATAATAATAATAATAATAATAATAATAATAATAATAATAATATTTTTTGCGTCACATATACAATTAAAATCGTGTATGACGAGTCAATGTGCTCTTGTGTGGAGAGAGCGAAGTTTCATTACTGTTCAAGAGCAAACAAGGGGCCATCTCAGCTTTTATTTCAAGGGACCAGGGAAAATGAACAAAACTAGCAACATAAAAAACTATGTACTCGAATGTTTCGTACTTCACGTGTAATACAAGAAAAGAAAAAAAGAAAGGGGGAAAAGAAAAGGAAAAAGGAAAGGAAAAAAGAGGAAAAGTCGCATTTTTTATTTATGTGATTCACTCCGAAAGAAGAGAATGGTCTGTTTGATTTTAAAGAGATCTTGCTTTGTAAATAACATTTGTTGAAGTTAAGAATTTCCAAAATGTTATTTTTTTCTTAACCTTTTTTCGTTATTCTATAATAATCTTGAGTTCGAGTGACTGTGTATATCTTTCCTTAGTGATCTTTGTTTATTTATTTACTCTTCACAGGTCTGTTTACAACATAGTTCCTTGGATTTTTAGAAATAAATAACTCTTTATACTTGTACCCTTGCACCTTCGACTGTTTGTCTCTTTAGTAAATATGTTAATTTTAGTTATTTTTGCGCATTTTTGAATAATCATTGGGACGCGTCCGAAAGGACCGTCACAGTATCGACTAATTTACGCGTCTTCTCACTATTTTCCCTACCTCAATGATACGTGAGCAGCCATCAATAAACGTAAGAAGAGTGAGAGACTAGCATGGAGTTAAGTCCTGTACAGGAAAGCTTGCAAATATTATAATTTAAAAATGTCATTGCGCTTTTTAAAATTCAATTTCTGTTTTATTCATTTTTTATAAATATACTGTATTGATTAACAATTTTGTGAAATTAAAATGTGTTTTAAAATAAATGCAGCCTGTTAACTCTTGATTATATATTTATTAAATAAACATTAACTATACAATGTTGCCAACATATGAGGAGACCATTCGTACATCTTCGTACATCGACCATTCATACATCTTTTCCATTTTATTTGAACAGATTCAGATATTTGAAATAAAAATTGTCTTTCGGCTCTGCAGAGATGTACTCTTCGTCTGCTTTCGTTAAGATGTAAACAACATGTTCCGAACCCAGAAACATTACAAAATGAAAAATGGTTACATTACAAAATGGTTCATCGCAGCGTATTTTCAAATCGGTGGATACCTAGCGGTTCGAGTTGTAGTTTTTTCCAACAGAGAGCTCTGCTAAACTTCATGTTCAGTGCCTGATCGGTTGCGCATTCTGTCGGAGTCCGATAGCATTGCGTTGAAATTGGTTTTCAACTACGTACGTGTTGCGAACATTAAAGTCTTGGGAAGAGAGACTAAAATCATAAAAGGGATTTCGTGGAAAAAGGTTTATTAAATTTTCTTACCATCATTGTAAATCGGATAATATTTCTATAAATATTTAATTCACCACATTTACAAAGTATATTTGTCACGTACATAGGTCGTTCCAAAAGTAATAACTTCCATTTTTTAAGGTTATTGTATGAGCTCAAAAATGAATGTAAGTGGTGTCATAGTGAAATTTAATCCTCCCGGTTAATGTTCATTTAATTTCCTTGCTGTTTGTCAGATAGAGGCACAGTTACTGTACGCTAAAATGGTGTCTGGCTGGAACGCGCGTCAGAAGCAGAGATGTGACTGAATTTCTCACTTCAGAGGAAATTGCACATACTGACATCAACATTCACTCACTGAAATTTTACGGGAAACATGCAGTGGATGTTATTACAATGTGGCGACGATGGGTACAGCGTTTCAGCGGTGGTGACAGCGACGTGAAAGACGAACCACGTTGCGGTCGTCCACGCAGTGCTGCCTCACCACGCGTGAAGGAGCGTTAGTCGATGAGCTCATCCGCGCGAATTCGCTCGGGGGGGGGGGGCTGGCTGTGTACGGCGCTGAACATGGGCTGCAATGCATTAGAGGTAACACTGAGAAAAATGAGTTCCTAAAACTTGTACGCAAGGTTAGCCCCACGATCATTCACACAGAAACACAAAGAGCACCGCGGAGACGTTTCTGAGAAGCTCTTGACCCAATACGAAGCTGAAGGTGATGGTTTTCTAGATCGAATAGTCACTAATGACGAGACAAGATGTCACAGGAATGAACCAAAAATAAAATGACAATAAAATGCATAGTAAAAAAGGGGGACTATATTGAAAAATAGTGTTGTGTTTAAAAAACTTTGTTCTAAGACATTTTATTAATATTGATTTTTATTTACTATAGTTGTCATACAAATAAACGGGATCATTACATTCGGAACGACCCTCGTAGATTGTGGAACTTGATTGCAGAGATTGCCATAAAGTCCTATCAACAAAGCTTAAAACCATAACTTAACTTCTTTTACCCGAGCACTATTTTTTTCCTGATGGTGTAGAGAAATTAAAATTCAATTTCGTACCCATTTCATGTACAATATACGTTTAATATTGAACATCTTTATATTCTCTATTCTCAGAAATATTTTCAACCTCGTGAGTTAAAACGTAAGATCGAGGATCGACATTTGTAATATCGATACTTTCATAGTAGGGTATCACATCTATTCTAAAATCACATGTCATCTCAGAACATTGTTAAAATTACTTCCGTGTTGAATAATTTCACGGAATTTTGAAATCACTCACAAAATAAAGTTTACTCTGAAATCAAGTGTGATACTGGATCATTTCTTATTCCTGAACTTCGTAGTATGATCTATACTCTAATATTTTAATTTACCGGACGGAAGAAATATAGTAGTTAAAAAATCAAATCTAATTAACAATGAGATAGTTAAACATCTCACAAAGTCACTTTACGCGTTATTTTATTAAATATTTGTATTGTCAGTAAATATTTGATTCATCATGATTAGCCGTAAACTATGATGTCACCGCGAAATCAAATGACTTATTAATAAATCGTTTGGAAAATTTCGATTTATAAAATAAATTTGTTTTTTTCCAGTGAACGCACTTACATGGTTTTTGCTCTGAATGCTTGAAGATTGAAAGAATTGTTTTTTAAAATAAAAGATGAGGCAAGTGTTTTGACTTTGTTTGTGTAATGTATTTAATTCTGCTGTGGAGGCTTGTATTAATAATTACAATCCCCTTTTATTCAGAGCAAATTTTCCTATTTTTTTCACGTTTTAACTTTAAAGAACCCTTTCTCCATTTTGTGACTTTGAAACTTACCTGATTTTTGTTTTGAACCTCTCGCTTACAATTGCAACAGATTTTCTCATTTTTCTTTTTAAAATAATGAAGTTAAGTATCATGTCTTGGGAGTGTTTCTGAGACCGCTGTTTGCGGGCCCATTATCGAGATCTATGGAATCATTCGGTAACAAACGGGCGAGAAATAGCACAATTAATCGCAAGGCTGAAATGCCTAGGTTTTTTAAAACTCCTGCGGGTGCGAATGGAAGAGACCGACGCATCGGTCGTTACACGTCGACTGCACTCTCCATTCATTCGTCATACGTGTTACTCGCGCGCTCGCCCGGCGCAACACAAGCGCCGTTTTGACGCGCGGACAAACTAGCTCGATTTTTCGCTGCCGCCCGCAGTTCTCCCCCCTCCCACCCTCTCTCAGGGGCCGCGCTCGCATTGGTCGGGCGGGCGTTAATTAGCGTCGATCAAACATTTCCCACTAAATACTTATGACTCGGGCGGCCGCGCTGTTGTTGCGCGTTTGGCCTGAAAGTGACGCGATCACTTGTCAAGGTTTTACGCAGGGCTTCTCCCGGGCGCCCACTTGCAGGCGCTGTTTTCCACTTGACGGTGCTCGCTCCCCGGATAAATAGCATCGGTAACAAAAGCGTGTTTTTTAAAAAGTGTATTTTTGGCAATTTATAAAGCGGAAGGTTGCTATTAAGGGAAACATGTGCATTTTTTTGTTTCTATTATTTTGTCATTCCTTCTACAAAATTTAGATCAATAGCTGAATTGATAGACAGGGCGTAAAAAGCTTTGAATAAATGTAAATAAGTTGTGAAATATTTACTCCATGAAATTCTCTGTGATTTCAATATTTTTTGAAATCATATTCAGCAAATAGAATGCATTAGTTCAGTCAATTTTAGTACGTATGACTTGGAAATGATGCGATAAGGTTTTAAAGCTGGTCAAGGAGTTTTTCTAAGTAGACGTATGACGTCATCACTTGACCAGCCCTTGGTGGACCTGAGTAAATAGCATTCAGTAGCAAAAAATGTTTTTAAATATATTTCTAGCAATCTAAGACACGGGTGGATCCAGCTGATCACTTTGGAGAGGGCCATCGTAGATTTTGGTTAAATAATAAACATTTGTTATTATATTGTGTATTATTTATGTACTGTAGATATGATAATGCACAATATTATTATTTAAATAATTACATGATTCTAACACAAATGTATATTACATCAATTTTGCCAAATAAAGGAAAGCAAACAAAAACTCACGCCCCCCTCGATCCGCCAGTGATCTAAGAGGAGACTAGTGGATAAAACGAGAACCAAATATTTTTTTTGTTTTCATTAAATGGTTTCCCTGATTTATCAATTGTGCTTAAAATTATACTGAATAAAAAAAGCGGAAAATGGAGATAAAATACAAATTGTAAAATATTTATGAGATTAAATACTTAAACTTGCTTGTTCCCGGAAATATTTAAACTTTATTGTAAGGAGGGTATAAAGTATTTGAGAACAATAATAATAATAATATCACATGGATTTTAAAGGTAAGTCAAACTAAAATTATAGCTATTTAACAACTCATATCAAGGATAAACAACATTCCACCTCATAAAATGCACCTTTCACAAAAACAAGCTATACGACTTAAAAACACCTTAACGGAAGGGACTGAGATACGAGTTTTACGACTGTCCAAATCTCTCGAGCTCAAGTTAAAACCTCGAATCCCACAAACAAGCGAGTACTCCCCGCGAGGCCTTGTAGATGGTCTCGGGCGCCGGGGAGGGGCGTGCCTTTGAGCAGCTTGCCATCCTTCTTTCTCTCCCCTCCTCTTGTTCCTTCCGATAACGTTACTGTTCTGCTCGCGTCTGGCATTGCGAACTCGCAATAGTGAGTTTTTCGAGACCAAGGGAGGCGGGCAAGGTCAAGTAGGCATTAGATGAGAACGTAGCGACGCTGTTATTATATAAAGGAAATATATACGGTTTTAATGCGATAATGTTTTGTACTGCTACGTTAAACATTACAATAAATTATATTCCAAGTGATGGTTTCGTCATTTCTATTGTAATACATATGCACTACAAACTTTACATCTATGATTTGATTTATTGATGATAATATTCGGTAAAGATATCATTCCAGAGACATGCATTGAAATTCAATTCATTTTTCATAGCTGGAGAAGGAATTCTAGATTCATGACAGTTACAAACAAATACTGAAGTCACGTATCGCTAAGGAGATATTTATTCAAACTTTGAAACAGCAGTATAGAACTATTGGTAAGATCACTTTTTATAACACTCACATTACTACTCCTCACCAGGAAAAGCCTTTATTGTAAGAGACGTCTAAAAAAGTCATTGCTACTAAAAATGCTACGTAGAAGATCAGTTTATGACCCTTACAAGATGGAAGGGGAGAAAGGATGGGACAACAATCGCGCGCGATTTGCGGCCCGTTGTTTAAGGTACTTCTCTTGCTTTCCCAGGAATATATCGGAGGAGACCATGCAAACGAAAAATTATAGAGGTGGCCTATAAATTCTGATTCAGATAGGAAATATCACTCAATGACTTTGACCGTTTGCCACAATCGAGCCTGTTCTCCCAATCTAATAAGCATCCTTTGCAGACAGTTTTATTTGTCAGAAAACGTGATTCGCCGCACACTTAAAGTATTCAGATATGCTGTTAACTTTCGTGGTGAATCTATAGGTAGTAAAAGGAAAGCGTCTGCGAATTAAGAGGGTGTAAATTTGTGAATTTGGGAAATTATCGAAGTGCGAGGGATTTGGCAAAAGAAATGGAAGGTGTGAGATCGATGACTACAAGAACAGTTTTTTGGTTTAGAGGAATAATAAAAAACATACAGATGGCGTTTTAGTAGATTAGATAAATCAAAAGGAAACGAATGTATGGTAATGGAGGGGGATATTTAAAAACATTTGAATGGAAATAACTGAGTTAGATGGAGGAGTTTATTGAGCAGGAAAGATAGAAGGAGTGACAGGTCACTCCTGCTTGGGCGAGGGAACTAGCGGAGGTTCTAGTAATGGAGCCAGTAAATGCAGTCATATGTGGTCGGCAGATGAGGGTCAATAGCAGGTGTGTCAACATCTCAGAAGCATACGGCTTGTGCAAGCAAATTTGGGGCTGGTGCGAAGATGTGCGGTACACCGCGCCGGTGTGTTGTGCGATGTCCGGAGAGGAGCGGTGCTAAAGCGGTGGGGATATTGGCGGTCGGGGGGTGGCGATTGCAGTCGCTTGATGCACCAGCTGTGGCTGACCTGGAGAGAAAGAGGGGAGGGAGATGGGAACAGTGATGGATCCCGAAGAGGTTGGTGGGAGGAGAGATCACGATGAAAGAAGATGGGATGAGCCTGTAGATGGCGAAGCTTAGTGTTATGAACGGGAAAGATGTCAGTTTTGATCGGGGCTGGGATTGAGGGATAGAGGATGGTAAATGGAGAATGGAAGATGGAGGTTGGGGTGTGATTTGTAAGTTTGAAGGATGACTTGTGAATATGGGGATGAGAATGGATATAGATATTGGGAAGGGGGTAGAAGGGAAATCAGAGGAAAGGGGGTTAGAAGTGAAACAAGGGGATGAATACGGAGATGGGGGAGGGAGAGGAGACAGGGATAGGGGTTGAGACTAGGGTGGGGAGATAGGATAAGAAATGAGTGATAGAGGTGGGGAATTGGCGGCTAGGAAGTTTGGAAAGACGGAGATAAAGTTGAAAGGGCAACACCAAAGTTTAAGGTACGAAAATAAATGGTAAAGTCTGAGAGCTGCGCGATTGACGACGTGGCAAGCAGGACTGCAGCGGGATTTGAAGCGGGAGCCACTGGGGATGAAAAGGACGGTGTGGGTGGAAACGTCGCCAGACGGCGTGTGAGGCGCCTCAAAAGAGCTGTGGCGACGGCAGTGGGG